ACATATAAATATGTATATCCTGCCTCTTTCCAAAGACAATTTGCAGAGACTTAAAAAACTGATGATGGAGTCAATGAAATAGAGAAAAGGATAGGAAGTTAAGATCAAAGGAGAAAGGAAGCCATCACCTGGGAGGCTTGAAACCTTGGACATGTTTTTCCTGAGTTTCCACAGGCCTCAGTTATTCAATCTGTGCAATGGGTTAGTGACATCTCCATCATAAGCTGCTGAGGAGACCAAGTACATTATCCACACAAAAGGCAAATGGTAGCCATTGTCACTAGCAGTCATCACCGTGTCGTCCATAACTTCAAGAATGGTTGTGATCATCATCTGTAGACAATGGCTCAAGTGCCAAGTTCATTCATTCACCAAATGTTTGCCAGAGGGCTTACCAGGTGCCAGACACAGTTCCTACAATCTGGGGACTTAACAGTGCAAGTGAAAAAGCAAACTACAAAAAAGAATTTGCAGGGAAAAAAATAGATATATGTTTGTAGGCTGAGCCCATTTTTATATTGTCTTTTAAAAACATATATATTCATGAAAAGTTGAAAAAATATTAACCAAATGTTGACAATGTTGTTGGCGTGGTAGATTACAGGTAGTTTTTGTATTCTTTTTTACCTGTTTCTTTTTTCTTTACAATGGTTATACATTAACTAAAGAAAAATACAATTAAAGGTGTTTTTAAACATTGTTTCTGAGATTCCTGGCACTCAAGGCAAAAAGGAAAATGCTTCTAAAGTACATTACCCATACCAAACCAAGCCAACCCAGTACCAATCAAGTCGATTCTGATTCACAGCGCTCCAACAGGACAGAGGAGAACTATGCTCACAAGGTTTGCAATGCTGTAAATCCTTCCAGAAGCAGGCTGCCAAGATCTTTCTCCTGCAGAGTGGTTTTTGGTTGAGTGCTTGACCACTGTGCCACCCGGGCTCCTTTCACCCACTGTTGCTGTTAGGTGCCGTCGAGTCATCTCTGACTCAGCAACAGAATCCCGGTCCTGTGACAGCCTCAAGATCCTTGCCATGCCTGAGCCCATTGTTGCAGGCACTGTGTCAATCCGTCTCATTGAGGGCCTTTTCGTTGACCCTCCACTTTACTAAGCATGACATCCTTCTCCAGTGAATGGTCCCTTCTGACAACATGACTAAAGTAGGTGACACGAAGTCTGGCCATTCTCACTTCCAAGAAGCATTCCAGCACAGATTTGTTAGTTCTTTTAGCGGTCCATGGTACTTTCAGTAGTCTTTGTAAACACCACATCTCAAAAGCATCAACCCTTCTTTGGTCTTCCTTATTCACCGTTCAGCTCTCATATGCATACGAGGCAATCAAAAATACTATGGCTTGGGTTGTTGTTGTTGTTGTTGTTGTTGTTATGTGCCGTCGAGTCAGCCCTGACTCATAGCGACCCCTCCTTGGGTTTCCGAGGCAGTATCACTACGGAAGTAGGATTGCCCAACCTTCCTTCCGAGGAGTGGCTGGTGGGTTTGAACCCCCAGCCCTCCGGTTAGCAGTCAAGTGTCTTAGGCGCACCTTAATCTTCAAGGACACATCTTTGCTCTTCAGCACTTGAAAGATTTGCAGCAGATTTGCCCAATGCAATACATCATCTGATGTCGTGACTGCTGCTTCCATTGGTGTTGATTGTAGAACCAAGTCTTTGACAACTTCAGTCTTTTTCTATTTATTGTGATGCTGCTATTGGTCCAGTTGTGAGGATTTTTGTTTTCTTTATATTTAGGTGTAATCCATACTGCAGACTGCAGTCTTCAACCTTCATCAGTAAGTGCTTTCACTCATACCAGTTCCTTAATGGAGGCAGTTTTTGTCAGCACTAGATTTTTACATAGACACTGAGAGATGTCACAAAAAAGGTCCCACAACAGTTTCTGTCTAACTGCAGACATGGTACCACAGGTGTGTCGTAGATAATTGCTGAATAAATAAACAAGCAAGTGGCCTGACACCAAATCTGTTGTTCTTCTAGAGCAGTGGCTCTCAACCAGGGGTGACTGTGCCCCTACAGGACACTTGACAATGTCTAGAGTCCTTCTTATTGTCATGACTAGGGGATGTTAGGGAGCTCTGGTAGCATAGTGGCTAAGACACTTGCCTGCTAACCAGACGACTGGCAGTTCAAACCCACCAGCCACTCCTCGGAAGGAAGGTTGGGCAATCCTACTTCCGTAGTGATACTGCCTCGGAAACCCAAGGAGGGGTTGCTATGAGTCGGGGCCGACTCGACGGCACATAACAACAACAACAACAGGGGGTGTTAACTGGCATCTAATGTGTAGAGACCAGCTAAACATGCTCCAAGGCATAAGAGAGCCTCCCACCACACAGGATTTTCTGGATCAAAATGTTAATAGAATATAGGTTGAGAAACCGTGTCCCAGAGCATCCGGCCAGTTGCTGCAGCGGAAGAGGTAATGTGAGCACGGGGAGCTGGCTGCAAAATGATCTCAAGAGCATGAATCTGAAAGTCAGATCAACTGAGATTTTAGTCCTAACTCTGCCTTAACTAGGAGCTCTGGTAGCATAGTGCCTAAGGCACTTGACTGCTAACCAGAACCAGAAGGCTGGCAGTTCAAACCCACCAGCCACTCTTCAGAAGGAAGGTTGGGCAATCTACTTCTGTAGCGATACTGCCTCAGAAACCCAAGGAGGGGTCGCTATGAGTTGGAGCTGACTCAACAGCACATAACAACAACTGCCTTAATTGGCTGGTAAGTTAAGTTTCCCCACATATGAAATGGGAGTAACATAGTGCTTATGAGCAGAAAGCCTGGCCATGGCACTTAACTGCTTGATAACTAGTGTTACTACAGGATTTTCTTTCAGAACAGGGATTACTTTCTACCAGATGAAAAACTGTAGAGTCAATTCAGTCTCATGGCGCCCTCATGCATGTCAGAGTAAATCGTATTCCCTAAGGCTTTTAATGGCTGATTTCTCTGAAGCTCTCCATGGCTTTGGACTTGAACCTCCAATTGTCCAGTTACCAGAAAAGCCTGTTAACCATGTGCACCACCCAGGAACTCTTTCTACCAGATACTAGAGGTCTTTTAGGTCTAAGCCTTTCGCCCCATTAAGTGGAAACTCCTTGAAGGCCCCATCCACACATAAATCCACTGGGTAACCCTCATCTCCAATAGCAAAGCAGCTGCACATGGTAGATTCTCAGTAAGTCTGAGAATCTATGAAATGGTCACACCTCCCTGGGCTTCCACATAGAGAGGGGTTGTCTCAGAGTGCCTGCAAAGGGGACCATGCTGAGGGGTTGGGATGTATGGCCCCAATCTCAGCTCAGAAGACGAATCCTCCCATCTCATGTCTTCTTCCTATGCCCGCCCCATCCCCTCCTGACCCACAGAAGACACACAAGTGTGTTGAAACTCACCCAGGCCCAGGGCACCCCAGTGCCAACACTTGGGGGCAGGGAGGGAGAAGGGATACTGATTAACTCAGAAAAGGGCATAGCTTAGCAGGCCACAGTCCTAGGGTCAAGCAAACAAAGCTCAAACTCAGCAAGGGATTCCCAGCTTGGAAAGCGAGGCCAAGAGTCATGGGCATGCAGGTATCAAAGGCAGTCTCACCAGACTGTGAGCCCTTCTGGGGCACAGGCTATGTCTTATCTACTTCCCCCATTGTCACTGAGTGGGCAGGGATCCAGAAACGCAACCCCCTGTCAGAGTTTACAAATCTGGGTCTGAAGGGCAGTTGCATCCCCAAACTGCCCCTCAGTTTCTTCACCCATAATTTGGCAATAGGAGTCCCTCAGTGGCGTGAATGGTTAACCCACTCAGCTGCTAACTAAAAGGTTGGAGGCTGAAGTCTACACAGAGGTGGCTGGTGATCTACTTGTGAAAAACCAGCCGCTGAAAACCTATGGAGCAGGTCTATACATATGGGGTCTCCATAAGCCAGAACTGACTTGACAGCAATTGGTTGGTTTAATTTGGAATAATAGTATCTACCCACCTTACAGGAATGAGAATTTTCAATAAAAGTGATAATGATGATCATGATAATAAAAAATATAACTGAACACTTTCTGTGTGCCTGGCAGTTTTATGCATTTTACAAATTAACTCATCTATTAGCTCATTAATTCTCACAGTAAGATATATGCCAAATATCTAGCACAGTATTCAGGTACATTATACCCATTGCCCGTCCAGTCAGTTCTGACTCATAACAACCTTATAGGACAGAAGAGAACTGCCCCATAGGGTTTCCAAAGCTATAAATCGTCATGGAGGCAGATTGCCACATCTTTCTCGGGCAGAAAGCCTAGTGGACTGGTAAGTTCAAACTGCTCACCCTTCTGTTAGCAGCTGAGCGCTTATCCACTGAGTCGCCAATGTTGGTCGGTGCATTATGAACACTCCACATATATCTTTATTATCATTATTCCACCTCCCAGAAAGGAGTCCCTCTTGTCTCTGTATTTCACCCAACACTTAACTTGAAAAAAAAGGGGAAGTAAATCAGAAATTTCAGTGGAAGGTGGGGAGGGAAGACTCCATGAATCCCAGAGCTGGGTCCTCTACATTAGTCGAGGGTATGGAGGTGAGAACCGGGAAATGCTAAAAGTATAGGTGTCCTGCAGAAAGCAGCGCACTCCGAGGTGGGAAAATTTCGAAAATACAGTATTAAGAGGAAGATGAGTCAATGAGAGGCTACTTTCCGAGTGAGACCCAGGAGAGACCTGAGGCACCCAGCCGGCCGCAGGATCCGGGAAAGGAGTCCCTCTTGCTGAAGGTTAGTGACTACCTGAAGGAAGCTGGGCGAAGGAGGCTGAAGTATTCCCGTGGGAGTGAGGCCCGGGTGGAGGGCTGGGGGGCACTCGACACAGAGACCCAGGGAGCAGGGGAGCGCTTAAGAAGTTCCGTGGGAACGGGAGCCCAGCATGGAGGACGCCCAGCGCCTCCAGGACCAGCAAGCGCCGCGCTCGGGACCTCCCCACCCCGGTGCTCACTCACCAGGCGCCCCTCCAGGGGCAAGCCAGCAGGGCGCGGCGGAGCGCAGGCGACGGCAGCAGCATCTCGAATTCCCAGCGCCGCTGTTCTTGGGAGTCTTAGACCAAGCCCAGAGAGACAGCACGGCCCCGCCCCACCAGGACCGCACCACCTCGGACAGAGGGGAATCAGAGCACCCGTATTGTCTTCTGACCTAAGCGTCAGTCGAAACCCTCCCTGTATACCTTATGCTAATAAACTCTTTCTGCATTGCAATGAAGGGGACTATTCTGCAATACAGGACAAGGGAAGTCTAGGGGCAGGCCTTGGAATATATGGTTTATCTCCTCCACTCTCGGTGGTATGACCCAATCCTCCTCGAGGAGAATTGGGAGTGAGCTCCATTGGCCAATCAGAGTGACACTTGCAAGCTCCTGGGCCAATCAAAGGGACGGTTAGGATACAGCCTTCTTAGGCTGAGGGGAGAGGGACTGGAACAGCCAATGGAAGAGGGAGAGTGGTGCACATGCTGTGAGGCTAGGCGGAGGAGCCTGCGGCACCGAGGCCTAGGTAAGCACGTTAGGTACTGGAGGCGTCAGGCCCCTCCACTGAGGTTGCGCTTGGCTAGTGGGAATTTTTAATTTTCTGAGTCTGGTTGCGTAGTGCTGAAGGCATTTGACTGCTAACTAGAAGTCTAGCGGTTCAAACCCACCAGCCACTCCTAGGAAGGACGACTGGGCAATTTACTTCCGTAGAGATACCGCCTCGGAAACCCAAGGAGGGGTCGCCGGCAGTGAGTTTGGTTTGGTTGTGCAGTGGGTAAGGCAATGGCTGCTAACCAGACGGTAGGCCGTTTAAAACCCGCCAGCCGCTTTACGGTGGAAGATAAGGCCATCTACTTCAGTAAAGATTTACAGCCTTGAACACCCAATGGAAGTTGCTGTGAGTCGGAATCCACTGGATGGCGTGGGTTTGGTTTGGTTTTCCAGGTTCTTCCATTGTAGGACCACCCCTTAGCCGATATCAGCTGTCCTCTACCCCCTGACCTGGCGCAGGGCTATCCAGCCTCCCCAGGGCCGGTGTCTTTTTTAAGTCGGCCTGCTTCCTTGCAGATTACCATCAATAAAAGATAAAACCCAACCCATCTAGGCTTAACTTTTCTTACAGCTCCTCTGCCGCGGAACCACTGCTGTAACGCTTTTTTTCCTCTCCCTTTAGATCAAAACTTCATTTTCTGTATTGGAAGTTGTTTGCTTGGCGAATGCGGATTCTGAAGTCTTCCCTGATGATGGAGTCTTAGGGACCCATTCCGTTCCTAAAGTAATTCTAGCCTTTCTCTATTGCAATGTATCTGTTTATATTTCCTTAAGCTGCATGATAGAGTTCCTGCTTTAGAGACAGAGTTCCCATGCTGATTCTGGCTGCTCCATGTGACCATGTAACATTGAGCAAGCGATGTAACCTCCCTGGGCCTCAGTTTCTTCATCTATAAAATGAGGTTAATAATTGTTAGTTGCTGTGGAAATGGCTGTGACTCATGGCAACCCTATGTGTATATAACAGTGAACTGTTGCGCCGGAGCCATCCTTCTGATTGTTGCTGTCCTCCAGTCATTGTTGTGGCTGTTGTGTCAATCCATCTCATTGAGGGTTTCCCTGGTTTTGATTGGCCTACCTCAAAATGCCTTCCCCCACCATCTCACACCACTCCTTTTCTTCCAGAAGATCACACCATTTGAGACTCTGGGGAATTGGAACATTCAAAGAGCGGGGAATCAGAAACGGAAACAACATGAGTGCAAATCTTAAAGATGGCAAAAAGCAAATTGGAACTGTTGTTGTTATGTGCTGTCAAGTCGGACCCGACTCATAGCGACCCCTCCTTAGGTTCCTGAGATGGTATCACTACGGAAGTAGATTGCCCAACCTTCCTTCCGAGGAGTTTCTGTGGGTTTGAACTGCCAGCCTTCTGGTTATGCTACCAGAGCTCCTAAATTGGAACTGGGGATGGCTATTTCTTCATCCTTGGAGAAGACCCTACTCAAGTAGGCCTGGTTTGACGAGAAGAAACTAAACACCAGCCAATGTCAAACCCAGAGCCTTCCCTGGGGACCGTGTGGAGGTTTCAGATTTGGTTAACAGGACCTCAGTTCCAAACTAGACTATGCCAGTTATTCAGCCTGTGACCTCCAAGGCCCTCTCTTCTGTAAAACACATGTCATAATCCCTGCTTTTTCTCCTTCCAAAGAATTCATTGTGAGATGCAAGTGTACAAGTGATGTGAAATTTCCTTTTTATAATTGGTTTCAGTGTTTATGTGGCCCCCAGTCCTCTTGCCCCTCCCATCCACAACTTTCATCCTTAATTAAAAAAAAAAAGTACCATCAATTCTAAGACATTTCTCTTTATTTAAAAGAAGCCAATATACAGGCTATAAAGGGCATGATATTTACAACAGTACAGTAAACAGGTTGGTGTTCAGTAAGATCAGTAGTCTTTCAGTGAGTATAAATCCCCCCTCCCCTTCCCCTTGATGCTAGACCCAGCTGGCAGACAAACCGCAACGGTGGGGTGGGATGGGACCACGGGATATAAAGTCTCCCTGGCTGGGGTTAAAAATCAGGTAGATGCTCAGATGTCCACATAAAGGTCTTGGGGAGGCATGGGTGCCTTTACCTCATTTCTTGGAGGGGTTGAAAAAGGGAATTTGAGGGATTTGTCCCAGACTAGCACACAGCCAGTTCTGAGCCTGGAATACTCCACCCATGGAAAATTCCCTTCCAGAGAGAATATGGCTTTACTCGTGCCCACCCAGCCACCTCTAGATTCTCCACTTTAGGTGGAAGGCTTGGGTCAGAGGGAGCCCCAGCATCTCATCCCTAGGCTGGGAGACACACAACCAAGACTGCAGCTGAGTCCCTGGCCTACAATAGGCACGGCCAGGCCTGGGCTCTGAGCATCTCCTGGCTATTTCACTCCTGGCCCAGCTGCCAGACAGCCTGGACCCCACTGTGACCCAGGCTCAGAAAAAGCCGTGTGCTTCCCGAACCCACAGCCCCACTGCCACACTGCTGCTTCCCAAACACAGCTGGTTTGGCAGTGGGTCTTGGCAGACCAGGGTTAAAGTAATTAAGCAGAGCCCACCCTCTGAAGGGGAGCTTACTCTCTACCTTAGTCCCCCTCCCCCCTCCCCGGCCTCAATCCCCAATCCCCCACTGCCCACCCACCCACCCCATGAGTGCCCCTCCCCCAAGACTTTTAAGGACCAACGAGCTGGGGGAGGGTCAGGGACGAGGGAAGTGGGGTGAGATGGGTCCTACACTCCATAGAAGTCACTCATCGCTGCGGATGACTAGGAGTAAGGACGAGAAACAGGCTAAAGGGCACCGATTATATAAAATGCAGCAGCAACATGCACATCTTGTCCCCAGAAAAACGCTGGGCTACCACAGCTGCCCACCCTAAATTAGAAAACCTTCCCTTTCATAAAAATAGATGAGAGTCTCTTGCTTTATAAATAGATTACATATAGCTTAAGTTACACCTTACATTATGTCCCCTACCCCACTCCCCCTACCCCCATCCCAAGACCAAGTGGTTTGATTCCCATAGATCGGAGCTACACCCACAGAACTAAGTCCGTGATGAACACACGAGTCCACAATTTCCACCTGGTTCTTCAGCAACCTCAAGATATATTGCTACAAGAAAACAAAATGTGTTTGTGTGATCATGATTTTCCCTGTTTCAAGTCTCATGGGAGTGTGTGTGTATGTGTGTGCATGTGTGTTTTCACAACCACGGAGTCAAAGGAAGCTACTCTCCCTGCCCCTTCCCAATCCTCTCTTTTTATAAAACCCCCAAAAATAGGAGAGTGAGAGAGGGCAGCAAAGGAGAGCCATCTGAGAGAATTCTAAAATACCAGTGTCAATATGACACTGCGCATAGAAATAGAAAACCAAAATTAAGTATTTACAGCTTTACAAGGGACAGACCAGGTCATGCCAACCTGGCCTGGTGCTGCCCCAGTGAGCATTGGGGTCTTTCTTGGCAAGCTGTGGGCTCATGGCGAGGGGACAAGCAGGGCCCACTGGCAACTAACTCAAAAAAGAACTTTGTGGGGAGGAAGGCAGCCAGGCCAAGATCCAGGAACCAGCCCAAGAGGCATGTTAGCCACACTTTTGCTGTCCTTCCCCCACTCACCTACTCCCAAGTGAGGAACAGCTAATGGGAATCAGCAGGAAAGAGCTCTTGGACAGCATCTCTCTCTGCCTCCTGCCATCTCCATACTCTCTACGGACAAATTCACAGCACCCTACTCTCTAAAGACAAAGGACCTATGTATATGAGAAGGAAAGCAAAAATTACACACCAGACACCAGTCGCCAAGGTAACTTTTGTTACCCTCAAACAGACTTTGCTTTTACTCTTAACTCTAAAGATATGTCTGTCACTCTCCCACCATCTTGAGGAACAATCCAGGGCCAGCTTCCATGCTGCCTGCCTGACCCCCAAACCATGTCATACAACAACCCCCTCAGCCCCGGACAGAGGACACCCTCTGAGGGCAGCCATTGTCCTGCCCTCAGGGAAACGGAAAACCTTTTCAGCAGCTGAGGTCCAAGCCCAACTGGCTCTAATAACCTTTGGTTAAAATAAAAATAAAACAACAACAACAACAATAATAATAATAAGGTATGCTTGAACCCTGTAACCTTTAGAACAAGGGCCAGTGAGGAGGAGATGAAAGGATGTCTCCTCCAAAACCACCATCCCTCTTAAGTACCTACCAAGGGACTGTCTGGCTAATGAGAGACACTGGGAGGGAAGTCTTTTGGCCAAACTACCTCAGGGAATCAGCAGGGTGTTCCCTCAACAAACAAACAAAAAAAAAGAAAAAACTCATAATAAAGGCCACCAAGGTCTGATAAATTACACATAGTCACTAACAACATTCTCTCTCTTTCCACATACATATATATATATAATACGAATACTATGTTCAATAGTTAAGACGCAAATCAGAGGGGGGAAATGGAAGAGAGAGAAGGCCCTTTAAGGTTGCTGGTACCCTGGGAGGAAAGACTGGGACTATAATCCTAGGCGAAGCCAGAGCCCTTTCCTCTGCCTCCAGACACAGGAAGTGAATAGCAAGTTCTGGTCCTTGGATACATTTTGCTCCTTTGACCTCCAGGGGGCGCTCCTGGGCCAACAAAAGCAAAAATCAGCACTCACACCACTTTGTGGTGGGTACAAAGAGAAATTAAAAGGAAAAAAGAAAAAATCACCCACTTAGCCGGCTCCAAGCTGAGATTTGGTGACTGTCTCAACACAGCGCCCTTCAACTCAAGCCCACTCAAGTCTTGGGGAGCTATTGGCTCAGATGAACTCCCCAACTGGTCAGTCAATGAAGTATGAAAAGAGGCTTACATATGTCATGAGCAGAATAGAGGATGGTCCTCACTCAAGCTCCTAATCTCACCACCTCCAATGTGCCAGCAGCCTTCACTGCCTCCCTCTCTTCCTTTTCCAAGGCCTCCTTCCTGCCGGTGGCCAAACAGCGAGCAACTTGGTGACAAAGGAGAAAACCAAGATGGTGGCAGGCCAGTAGTTACCAGAGCTCCACTTGAAAGGGAGTGGATACCAGGCCTGGCCCCCTTCAGGCTTTCTTACAGAGAAATCACAGGTCTATAATAACCCCTTGGAGTTGGCTGGAGAAGGGGAAAGAGCATCAAGTCATCAGGACCATAAAAGACCCTCCCAAACCAACAAGGTCCCAAAGCGAGCAAGCAGTCAGGTGGGCCAAGGGTCTTGCAGGAACCCAGGCTGAGCTACCAACCTGGACCAACTCCCCTCCCAAGACAGTGCTCACCCTCAGAGGCTGCAAGAACAATGACCCTAGCTTCTGCCTCCCTCCCAGCTTAGGGGGAAACCATGGGTCTGGGAGGGGGCCTACCTTCCACAATGATATAAGGCAAGCTGCTTTTTTTGTTTGTTTGTTTTTTTGCATAGTAGTTTAAACACAGTGAGGCTCCACCTTCCCCACAGTGCCTCATCCCTTTACTTTGCCACTAGATCCGAAAAGAAAATAAAACTCTTTTTGCTCCCTCCTTCCATCTTTCTCTCTTTCAGTGAGTGAGAAACATTTGGAGGTCCTCACCCAGGCCTGGAAAGGTTGCAGAGGCAAGCAGCTCCTTCCTGGTGGAGGCTGACTACCCCAAGCCCCAACTCAGTCAGTGCTGGCGGGGAGAAGAAGGGAGGACAGAGCTCATGGCCAATCAGAGGAGCAGGTGGGAGGGTAGAAAACCACATTATACCATGCCCAGGGGGCCCCCCACCCTCACCTTAGAGTTTCGTATAAAAACACCTGCTAGGAATAATTCTTTGGAGCTCAAAGTGGCTCAGCTTAAGGGAAAAGGCACAGTTAACACTGCATCATTGGACAGAAGTCTGCATTTGTAATGTGGAGAACAATAGAAATTGACAGCACCATTCCTTTGGTGGAAGGATGGAGAAGGGGCACTGGTCGGTGGTGGGGAGTGTGGAAGGAAGGACGGAAGCAGCAGTCCCTTGGGGCCTCCAGAGAAGGGAAGGCATATGAAGTCTGTGTGGTAAGGACATGAGCCCCACCCCAGGAGCCTTCGTGGCCCCATGGGAGCAGGGGGCAGGGCCCCATCTCCAACACCACCAGGCACTTGGGGCCTCAGTCATCAGCTGACCATGGGCTCCACATCCGCCTCCCGCTCAAACTCATCCTGGATCTCATCTGTACTTCCTGAGTCACTGCTGGCCACGGAGCTGGGGGACGGGGAGTTTCTGGAAGGCAAAGAGAGAATGGGGACACTTAGAGGACAGCCTGGGGACCCCTGAAGGATTCAAGGAACCAGGGAAGCAAAGTGTCCATTCCCATAAAATATCACCTCAGAGGAGGACCCTCCTCTGACGCTCTGGCCCACCTCAGCACTCCATTCCCATGGCCTTGCACAGAGCAGGCCTTCAATAAGTAATGCAGAATCAGTGGGGGTGGGGGCGCTTGCTGTGATGGCCATATGACATTAATATGTAAGGCATCTAGCACATAGTAGGTGCTCTAATATTCACTGGATAGATGGATGAATGGATGGATCAATGGAAGGAAGGATGCATAGAAAGATGGATGAATGGATGAAGAATGGACAGATGGACAAAAGATGGGCTGGGTGTAACCCTCAAACATCCCACCATTGGGTCTTTAGGGAAGACAGGGCCAGTACCTGTCTGCTGAGCCTTTGATGAGCCGGCGGCAGGTCTCCATCTGCACATCCAGGCCCCGCTTCATGCTGCACATCTCCATGTACTCGTGCAAGTGTCGGTTCATGTCACTCTTGGCTGTGGCCAGCTCCAGCTGAGAGGAAGCCACATGAGACAAGGCTGAGGGCATGTCATCCTCAAAGCAGAAAGCTTGGCAGGCTCCCTCCTCAATTCCTCAGTGGTGGCACCATCAAGGCCACCACTGCTGTGCCCTTGCAACCCAGTCTCATGAGCATCAACGTCCCTCAGCCTCTGCTTTCTCCATACTGGTCCATATCCTCTAGAACTGCTTCTGGGGAATGGATGATTAGCAACCTCAGGGGTGAGAGGCCCCACCCAGTTCAGGGAACTCCACCAGCCTCAGCATCTCTAGATTCCTTTATATGGACTTGATTATAAAGTCCTTAGTCTCTTTCATGTTTCTCACCCTTCTCTTTCTTCAGTATGACAACAGCAATGACTCTCTTTTACACAAGTGGGTAAGTGTTAAGTGCACAGGCTTTTAAAGCCAGATAGAACCTTGAATCTTGCTTCCTAGCGGGGAGTTCTTGGACAAGTCATTTGGTCTCCTTTAGCCTCATTTCCTCCTCTATAAAATGGGGTGGGAGGGCACAGCACCTATGCATAAGGTAGTGGTAAGGATACTATGGAGGATGTACTTGAAAAGGGCCTCTCCAGTGCTAGCATTACTCAGGATCACTTATTATGAGGTCATCATCTTAGCTGAATTAAAAGAATGTATCGGAAGGAAGGTTGGGCAATCCTACTTCCGTAGTGATACTGTCTCGGAAACCCAAGGAGGGGTCGCTATGAGTCGGGGCCGACTCGACGGCACATAAAAACAACAACAACAACATGGAGAAGGCAGGGATCACTACCCCTGTTTTACAGATTAGGAAACCAAGGACCTAAGAATGGCATGGCTTGCCTAGAACCAGGCAGAGAATCGGGAGGCCTTCTAATCCTGATCCCGTGCTTTCCCCGCGCTACCAGCCCTGCCCACATAGGCACTTAATCACCAGGGGTCTCAACTGCAGCAGAGCCTCCCACATGGGCTCTTCAGCCCAAGCCCTCACCTCAATCTGGCCTATCGTTTCCTGGTACTCCTTGTCTCTTGTTTTGAAGAAGGATTCTGTCTCATGGATCAAGTTGCCCAAGTTTTCTTCTTGCTGGGAAAACAGAACAAAGAATGTTGGGTGGTGGGGTCCACAGTGAAGAACAGGGATGAGGGATAATTGGCAGGAGGTGCTGGGTGAGTGCCCATGGGGGATTAGCCCTCCAGAACCCACCCAGCCTCTGGGAAGCCAGGCCCTGGACTTACCTCCCCCTGCAGGTCAATGGAGGGATTGCAGTTGGTGAAATCCTCCCAGAGCAGCAGCGTGTCTTCATTCTCTTCCCATGTCAAGCTGTCACAGTCATCATCAAAATCAAAGGTCTCCCGCCTATGGGGTGACATGAAGGACAAGACTGAATAGATACCCAGACTCCCAGGGGCCTATATGGGGGAGGGGAGAAAGAGGCAACTGCAAAAAAAAAAAAAAAAAAGAAAGAAAGCAGTGGTGGCCAAAGGGGACATTCTTAGAGGAAACACAGCCAGATGCTCTTAGAAGCAAAGATGGCGAGACTTCGCTTGTTTACTTTGCTTTGGGTCTTTTTTTTCTATATATAATAACTTTTAATTGTAATTTAGGTGGAAGTTTACAGAGCAAATTGGTTTTCCATTCAACAATTCATACACATTTTGTTTTGTGACATTCATTGCAATCCCCACAAGGTAACAACGCTCCTCCTACTTCCTCTCTATGTTTACTGCTTCCACGCATCCTTCTTTTCTACCCTTCCTGCCTTCTCAGCCTTATCCCTGGACAAACATAAGGCATTTGATGTCACCTGGTTGATTTTTCTAAAGGGTGCATACCACCCTGGTATTACTGTTCATCACCTTATAGGCCTGTCTGTTGTCCTCAGCCTCTCCCCTCTACCCAGTCTTCCCAGCAGCCAGAATTCAGGCAAGAAGAATTCCTTTTCCCATCATAACAGGGCCTGTGACACCCATATCCCAGGCATGTGTGCACTGACAGGAGGGCATCAGCTCCAAGCACTTCTGTTGTTGTCAGCTGCCTTCAAGTCAGCCCCTAACTCATGGTGACCCCAACTCATGGAACCCTCATGCAAACGGAACAAAACACCACCCCATCCTGTGCCGTCCTCATGATGGGTTGTAAGTCGGACTGGTGTGATCTGCAGGGCTTTTTCTTTTCTCTTTTTCAACTTTTTATTATGATTTGGGTGAAAGTTGACTAAGCAAATAATTGGTTTTCCATTCAACAATTCCTATACATTTTGTTTTGTGACACTGCAGTCCCCACAATGTAGCAGACTCTTCCCACTTCTTCCCTGTGCTGAGTGTTTCCATGCGGCCTTCTTTCCTATCTCTTCTGCCTTCTGAGCTTTATCACTGGGCACACGCCACCCTTTATGATCTCCACAACCCTGAGACCAGAGAACTACATGGTGTGTGGCTACCTCTGCTGACCACTCTGAAAGGGATCACAATAGGAGGTCCCAGATAGAGTGGGAGAAAAACATGGAACGAAACTCAAAATCATAAGAAAGACAAGGCTTTTTCGGTCTGACAGAGACTGGTGGGACCCCCAAGACTATGACCCTTAGACACTTTTCAAGTCTGGAACTGAACTCACCCCACTAGCTCAAAGTTTAGCCAAGCAACAGACAGGCCTATAAGTGAATAGTAACACAGGGAGGTAGTAGTACTCCTTAAAATGATCAACCACACTAGATCCACAGGGCAGCATTCGCCCAGGGATAAAGCTCAGGAGGAAAGAAGGGATAGGAGGGAAGGGGTGGAACAGAAATGGCAAATACAAGGAGAAGTGGGAAGAGTGCTATTACATTGTGGGGACTACAGTCAATGTTACAAAACAAAATATGTATGGATTGTTGAATGGAAAACCAATTTGTTCTGTTAACTTTCACCCAAATCACAATAAAAAATTATTAAAAAAAAAAAAAAAAAAAAACCCTTGGTCCAACACAGATCAACAGAAAAACAAACCCACTGTCATCAAGTTGATTCAGACTCATAACATCTCTACAGGACACAGTAGGACTACCCTATAAGACAGAGTAGAACTGCCCCACAGTGTTTCCAAGGTTGTGAATCTGTATGTAAGCAGACTGCCTCATCTTTCTCCCACATAGAGGCTGGTGGGTTTCAACTGGCAATCTTTTGGTTAGCAACTGAATGCTTTAACCACTATGCCACCAGAACTTCTTCTAACACAAATGGGAAGGTTAAATCACTTGACCCAGTAAATCAGTGGCAGAAAAGGGTGTGGTTCCTGAGTCTCCAGGTTCCCATCCCAAAGCTCTCCCTACTGCCTACACTCCTTCCCTCAACTCCTTCGTGGATCCTCCTGGGTATTGCTCCCAAAGGTCAGACGATGGACAGGATTAGGAACCTATGAACAGGGCCCAAGAGGACATACTGATAAAAACCTGCCCAGAAGGCTCCCTGCAGCCAGGCCACACTGAGTCCCTGCCTACAGCAGTTCCTGCTGGAGCCTGTAGGTGGCTCTGTGAGCCCAGGTACCAGAACTGGGGGATGGGGGGACACACTGCCCCCACTGCTAGCCAGAGCTTAAGTCCCTGGGGTCCACCCATCACCACATTACATACTCAACTCCTGACTTCACTTCCTTTTCAGTGTCTGGAGTCTGCAGGAAACGACAGCTGAGGGAAAGGACAGGAAGATGGACAAGGGAAGGGGCACGGATGAGGACTCCCTTGATAAATCTGCAGTGGGCTGCGGAGGTGGGGTAGCCAGGGAGGCAGAGAAAGTAGCAAATGCCTCCTCTCTTCCTGATCTGAAGCCCAAGCAATCAATTTTGATGAAAACAAAACAGTTCGAACATGGGTGCATTATTCAAAAACTCCCCAAGAACTGGCCTAGGGCCAGTCTCTCCTTGTCTCTCAGCGCATAGCAAGCGCAGACGACACGGGGAGAGGCCAGGGTGACCTGGGGTGGGGTAGCACAGCAGGGTGGGTATGTGATGGGGAAATGTTTTTTCTCAACTTCACAACCAGATAAATCTAATCGGATACTGACTCATTTCAGACCTGTCAACACACACCCGTTTCTACAGCATCTGTCCTTGGCTTGACTGGGGGCTGAACGCTCCCTCGTCCCCACAGAAGCATCTGCTGGTGGAGCCCCTCTTCAGAACTCCCTGTACTCGACTCTCAGGATGTGTCCCTTCGCTGGTCAGCTTAGGGATTCCCTGGTGACTTTATAAAAATGGCGGGCAAGGATTTCTTCAGAGAAGTCCATTAATTCCACCAAACGAACTCAGCCTTGGGTCTCTGGAGCTGAACAAGCCTATCTTAGGCTCAGGGATGCCTAGAGAAAATCTAGACCCACTGGTCCTTTTCAAAATCCCCTCTTTGTTCATTAACGAAAGATGAGAACATGAGGTTCTGGGGTGATGTTGAAAGATGAATCAAGAGCATGCTGTTAAATGCCACTGACTCAGTTCCGAGTCACAGGGACCCTGTGTATAACAGAGCTAAACTCTGCACAATCCTCACAATCATCGCCTTGCTTAAGCCCTTCATTGCAGCCACTGTGTCAATCCATCTCTTGAGGGTCTTCCCATTTTTCACTGACCCTCTACTTTACCAAGTGTGATATCTTTTCCAGGGAATGGTCCTTTCTGACAGTATAACCAAAGGAGGTGAGACGAAGTCTGGCCCTTCTCGCTTCTAAGGAACATTCTGGCTGTACTTCCTCCAAGACAGATTTCTTTGTTCTCTGGCAGTCCATGGTATATTCAATATTATTCGCCAACACCACAATTCAAATGCATCAACTTTTCTGCGGTCTTCCTTATTCATTGTCCAGCTCTCACATGCTTATGAAAACAAAACAAAACAAAACAAAAAAACGAAACTCACTGCCCTGGAGTCAGATCTGACTCACAGTGACCCCTCCTTGGGTTTCTGAGGCAGTATCACTAGGGAAGTAGATTGCCCAATCTTCCTTCCAAGAAGTGGCTGGTGGGTTTGAACCATCAGCCTTCTGATTAGCAGTCAAAAGCCTTCGGCACTACACCACCAGAGGCAACTGAAAATGCCGTGGCTTGGGTCAGGCACACCTTAGTCTTCAAATGGATGTCTTTGCTCTTTAACACTTAGAAGAGTCATTTTTAGCAGATTTGCCCAATGCAATACATCATTTGATTTCTTGACTGCTGCTTCCAGAGGCATTGACTATGGATCCAAGTAAAATTTAAATCCTTTCTCCATTTATCATGATGTTGCTTATTGGTCCAAGTTGTGAGGATTTTTGTTTTCTTTATGTTGAGGTGTAATCTATACTGCAGACTGTAGTCTTTGATCTTCATCAGTAAGTGCTTCAAATCATCTTCACTTTCAGCAAGCAAGGTTGTGCCATCTGCATATCACAGGTTGTTAATGAGTCTTCCTCCAACCCTGATGCTGCATTTTTCTTCATATAGTCCAGCTTCTTGGATTATTTGCTAGCATACAAATTGAGTAAGTATGGTGAAAAGATACAATCCTGACACAGACCATTCCTGATTTTGAACCATGCAGTATTCCCTTATTCTGTTCAAATGACTAGAGAACAACTGGTAGGGAATCTAAGGGTTCTGTATATGACCTTCAAATAGCAAACCCTTTAAATACAGCTCCCTATCTCAGTTCTGTCAAGAGGATGGTGAGTAGGATAAAGTCCTAGGCAAAAGAACTCCCATCTGCACCTGGTTCCTACTTCTGCCCACAACTATTGGTCTCCCAATGAATCAGCCAGGCTCAGTTGGCAAAGGGACCAGGACAGGGACAGTGTGCAGAGGAGGTAGAAGACAGACATCTCTTCCAAGCATGAAGACATTGGTGTAGAGGACAGAGCACTGGACCAAGAGTTGGGAGATACGGTTTTGTCACAAGCTCCTGTGTGCCCTTAGGCAAGTCCCCGCCCCTCTCTGAGCCTTAAGACAAGGAAGGAGTTGGAGCAGGTGATCTTCAGACTCTGTAATACTAAATACAAAGTCCCAGAGCTTTGTAGAAGAGCTATGTGTCCAGGCTTTTGAAATGAATATAATGTTAGGGGACCTGCTAACAGGAGTATGTCCTCTCTGGAGGGTTCTAGGAGGTGTTGTCTGGGCTCAGGAGAGCCAAGGATTCCAATCTAGCCCTGCTGTCAGAAACCAGGACTACAGGGAAAGAACCCAGGCCATAAAGCTCACTCAGCCCTGAGGCCCTGAAGCAGGAGTGAGGGGTGAGATGGAGGTGAGGGGTGCGAAGAATGGAGGCCTAGGGGAAAGCTGAATTTTGGGATCCAAGTATCAATTGTAAGGGACTCCAGAAACAGAGCAGGCAAGAGTAGGCTGATGGACTGGTATACCATGCAATCCTCAACCTGTACGACTATGAGACCAAAAGAACTAGATGGTACCCGGCTATCACAGTCAACCACTCAGAGAGGGATTTATTAGGAGATCCTGGATAGAGTGAGAGAACAATGTGAAACAAAACTCAAAATCATTTAAAAAATAAAGGACCAGGTTTGCTGGTGTGATAGAGCCTGGTGGAACCCCTGAGACTATGGATCTTAACTGCCCTTCAGGTCTGGAATTGAACCCAATCCTGTGGCTTCCAGCCAAACAAAAGACAGGTAAACATTTACATTAGGTAGAGACACCCCTTGGAGAGATCAATCATGGGAGAATAGAAGGGCTGTGTATGCACAGGGAGACAGCTCAGGAGGCAGGAGTGCATAGAGGGAAGGACACAAGGAAGAGGTAACTATGAGGAGGAAATGGGAAGGGAGTTGTTGCATTGTGGGAAATTTCAGTCAATGTCATGAGACAGTGTATGTGAGCTGCTGTATGGAAAGGGAATTTGCTCTGCAAACTTTCACCCAAATCACAATTTTAAAAAAAAGAGAGAGAGCAGGCTGATGGGCCCCAGGGAAGGGCTGGCCCCACAGACCCAGTACCAGTTCTCCCCTTTGACTCACAACCCTTACGCAGTAGCTGTTACCTCTCCCCTCTCCCATCTTCAACATTAGGGTATATTAGGACAGGATATGGATTATAGTTAAAGATGAGTCAGGATTCAGAGCATGGCTTTGAATAAGCCAAGGCCACACTGCCATCCCTGCCCCAGGTATACCATATCCAGTGATGTTCAGGTTAAGCAGCAGCTCTTGGGGTGGGGGGTGGGGGACTGATTTGTAGTATTTGCTATTACCCACTACAGCCAATTTTAAGATGCTAATATGACATCACTGAACTTGGAGTGGGAAGAGATGCACACAACCCCTGATCATACCCAGTCCAGACTCAGTCACTGACCCGGGCAGCATTACAAAGTGAGAGAACTGGGCAGACAGGCTGAGGGCTGAATCTCAGTTTTGCCATGGATCAGCTGTGTGGTCTTGGCCAAGTTGCTTCCTTGTGCGGAGGCTCAGCTCTTTTATCTTCAAAGTGGGGGTGATAAGCTCTATCTCCTGAGTTGATGATCTGGAGTCGGGGTCACATTGGGGAGCACCCTGCTTATGGAGGACGCTCAGTGATAGCCAGGAGCCCTTCCTAGGCTGGAGTGGCCAGTGTGGTGGAATCTACCACACGGATCAGCTCAACTGTCCCACCACAGGGAAACTAGCGGCAGAAGTCTAAGACTTGATTAAGAATAGTCCACAAATGTAGTATACCCAAGACCATGTATAGGGTTGGCAGACAATGGTCCTATCAGTGTATCTGTATGATCTGTAAGAATTCCCAGGTGTAAAGTAGAGCTGACAAGGGACAAGGTTGTAGTCACTTCTTGGTCACAGCCAGCTACCCAGAGGGACTGAGTAGTTGAACCTGTGGGCTCGGGACCACTGTCACAGGGGACATCAAGCTCAATTGGCATAACATACTACACAAAATGTTGTTCCACCTCCTACTTTGGCAAGTAGTGACTGGGATCTTAAAAGTTTGCAAGCAGCCATCTATATACCATGATGGGTCTCTCCTTGTCCAGAACAAAGAAGAATGAAGAAAACCAAAGATTCATGGAAAGAATTGGTCCTAGCGACTGGTACACCATGTGATCCTCAGCTTATATGACTATGAGACCAGAACTAGATGGTGCCTGGCTACCACTGTCAACCACTTGGAGGGGGATCTATGTAGGAGATCCTGGATAGAGAGGGAGAACAATGTGGAACAAAACTCAAAATCATTTGGAGAAAAAAAGGGGGGGGGGGGACTAGGTCTGCTGGTCTGATAGAGCCTCAGTGGAACCACTGAGACTATGGCCCCTAGCTGCCCTTCAGGTCTGGAATTGAACCCACACCTGTGGCTTCCAGCCAAACAAAAGACAGGCATATGAGTTGAACATTTACCTGACATAGATACACTCCTTGGAGAGAACTATCATGGGAGAAAGAAGGGCTGCTTATGCACAGGGAGACAGCTCAGGGGGCAGGAGCACATGGAGGGATGGACACAGGGAAGAGGTAATTATCGGGAGGAAGTGGGAGGGGAGCTGTTGCATTGGGGTAAATTGTAGTCAATGTCATGAGACAAAGTGTATGTGAACTGCTGTATGGAAAGTAAATTTGCTCTGTAAATTTTCACCCAAATCTCACACACACACACACACACACACACACAGAGAAAAGAATAGTCCACAAATGTGACCACCACTACCATTACCTTTGTCCCTGGGTGATGCAAACAGTTAATGTGCTCAGCTGCCAAAAGGCAGGAGGTTCGCATTCACCCAGAGGCACCTTGGAGGAAAGGCCTGGCAATCTACTTCCAAAAAATCAGCCACTGAAAACCCTATGGAGCACAGTTCTCCTCCAGCACACACAGGTCTTGCAGTAACCATGAACAATGTGACCCTCTCTGGATTCATGAAGTCACCAGGCACAGCAACTTCTAAACATGACCAGGGAGGGAGCAGCCCAGCCCCTTCTTCTCATGGGAGAGAACAGACCCTCCCCTGACTGAAGCAACTCCCTCCTCCCACCTCTGCTGTGTCCTTCTGCTGCCTTTAAAGAAGCTTTCCAAGGGATAGGAGAGAGGTAGACAGGTAACATAAAGGGCCCTGGCAACCTGAAGAGCACCCACTGTGCCCAGAGGTGGCTGCCACTAACCTGACAACTGTGCTGTAGGCTCAGTGAGGCCTGATCGACTCAATTTTTCAAGAATAGCTGCAAATGTGAAATTTCCCAAATTCTAAATATTGTAAATGAACCTCAGTTATTTGAGGGCACTGTGCTGGTGAAACAAACGCACCTGTAGCAAACGCAGCCCAGCCCACCAGTTGCTGCCCCTGCCTTAGTGATTGGGGAAGGGGGTGTGGATGGGAGAAGTGCTGGGGCCAGGGCACTCACAGCTGGTTGAACATGCGCTTCATCTCATCTGTGATGTTCATGGAGCCGACCTCGTCATCAGAGAACCGGTTCACTTCTCCGTCCTGCTCAGAGATGTCATCGTCTGAAGCCGCCTTCCGCTCTTTCTTTTTGGGGACCACCTGAGCCAGAAAGGAAGAGATCATGGTAACTGGGAGGCTCTGCTGGGATACAGGTGGGGGCGGCCATTGAGGAAGGGAGCCGGCATCCCACGGGCAGATGGAGCGTGGCTCGGGCCAGCCACTGGCAGGAAAGATGCACAGGTCCTCTACGAAGCAGGTGGCGTTAGTGGGAAGCGTGAGGTGGGGAGGACATGCAGGATGGAGGACATGGACGGCCCGGACCCTTCCCCTGCCCTGGGAGGCCTGCTGGTTGGGCTCACCCTTCACCAGAGAAGCAAGAGCAGGCCAGACAGGATGCAGAGCCCCCTGGGATGTCGCAGAGCCAGCCAGAGAGACAGCCCTCACAGAGGCTGAGACCACTCCGTGCTCCCCAGAGCCCTTTTGCTCACATGCAAAGGCAACGGGCAGCACCAAGGAACATCAAGCTTCCACTCCAGGCAGACAAGACACTAGCAAACAGCTGCTGAATTATCCTCCTGCTTCCCAGCAGGGGGCAGCAAAAAGGCACGAGGGGAGAAAAAGACCCAAGAAGCCCACATCTTGCCCAGCTACATCCAAGGTCACACATTTAAAGCGACAACACACCTCATGGACCTGGGCTCAAGCAAAAGCCAGACTACAACCCAAAACTCAAGATGCAGCCTTCCAAGAATGGCACGTGCCCTTTGGTCAGCTGAAGTGGGAGGGCAGACTTTCTTTCAGGGACATACACACTTTCACATTAGGGCAGGGGCAACAGAGAGATGCTCAGTGAGAACGAAAATAGTTGCCAACAGCTCCTCCTCGGAATTCTGAGGTCACCTGTCAGGGCTCATGCCAGCTCACCCAGTTCTCCTCAGAGCCTGGCCAAGGCTCCCCAACTGGGGTGATGATGCCCAGTTCTGGCTCCCAGAAGGGGCCAGAAGCAGGGCAGGCAGCACGGTGTGAGGCAGAAGAATGAGCATCAGAAGGTCAGGAGACCTGAGTTCTAATCCTGACTCTGCCACTTCCCTCCTATAACATACACGCGTCAGGTCACCCCTCTGTGCCTCAGTCTCCATGGCCACAGGATGAAGCAGTCAGACTAGATCATGGAGTCAGAGTCAGAGGGACTACGCTGTCCAGGGGTTCTATGTTTCTATGCTTCCTGGTTCTATGTTCTCCGAGGGAGGCCAAAAGGGGGTAAATGCTACCTCTTGGGGAAAGGAAGTGAGCAGAGTGTCGGGAATAAAGGGCTGGCCAGGCAGGAGTCGAGGCCAGGGCTGCTGTGGGAGGGGCAGTGGCGGGTAGTGGGCACTGGTGAGCAGGGTGACCCTATTCACCTGGAAGATCTTGGACACGTCTTCCGAGTTCCGCTGCTGTGCGACATCGCACAGCTTGGCTGTGATATCGATTCGGCGGCAGATGTCCATGTCCACCTTCATGGCCTTTTCTTGGATCTTTGTGTCCAGGTCTGTCATGGGCTGCAGGGAGGACAGCAGGGGGGATTACATGAGCAAGGAGTGGAGCAAGGATGAGGGGGTGAGCAGGTGGGGAGCTGTCCCCAGGCTCCTGGTGGTGGGCAGCCCAGAGTCCAAGGGAGCCCTGAGCTTCTTGTAGCATGAAGGGTGGGTCAACAGCACTCAGGCTGCAGAGTGGGTAAGAAGTGGGCCTTGGAGGCTAAGGGCTTTGTCAGCCAATGAACAATGTGAAACCACATTTGCTGGTCTCCCTAGGGCTGGAAGGCATCCTCTCTGCAGATACAGAGTCAGTGTTTATTTTGTTAAAGCAAAGAAAAAAGAAAGACAACTCACACCTTAGAAAGACTGCCCTCTTTTTCCAACCTGCAGCCCAACTTGTCCCCTACACAGAGGTGCCTGCCGAAGCAGCTCTCTCTCCTGGATCCTCCCATGGCTGACAGCAGGGGGTCAGCTATGATGGGTGGGTCCCCTTGATCCAACTGAGGGGAAGCCAGGTGGCCTCCACCTGAGGAGGCTCCCTCCAACCACACCCAGCCCCACACAGTCCCTCAGCACCAGGAGCCAAGCCAGGCAGTCACCCCAACTGCTTCTCCTTTCTGCCCACTGAACGAAGGTGGCAGGAAACCCAGGTCCCTGGCAGGAAGGAAATCTTCGTTGCCAACAGCCCCCCACCACACAGTTCTCAGAGGGTCCCTGAAGTGTTAAAGGACACACACTGGCCTTGATCGACATTCCAAAGCAGCCCGGCTGAAGGCCACTAGGCCTGGAGCCTCTTGGGCTACAGAGACTGGACCTGAGGTCTCCCTCACCCCCAGAGTGGGCCCCGGCCTGCCAGTCCCCCCCTTCACTATGCCCAGACATGGAGGCCACCAGTCACCACCCACCCTCATCAATGGCGAGCTGGGAAGGAGTCCGACAGAACACACACAGACCATCAGAGGAGCCCTGGGGAGGGCGGGATGGGTTAAGCGGCAGATTAATGCATCTCTACTCAGACCAAGGGGAAGCAGAAGGGGGGGGGGGGGCAGGAGGAGGGCGCCTGGTCTCTGATGCATCCATCATCCTCACGGTCAAACGCAGCAGCCAGGATTCTAACTAGAAGCCGAGCTCTGGCCACCTCGGAGTGAATGAAGCATTTTGCATGATGGGGATAGGGGTGGGGTCATGACGCTTGAGGTGGCAGCCGATGGCACTTACATCACTCATGAGCCCCTTAAACACCACCAGCTCGGCTTTGAGCCGCTCAATCTTCTCGTTCATCTCCTCCTGGATGGCTTCCGCCTCCTGTGCCGCCTGCAGAGATGGAGATGGGAGGCCTTAGGGAGGCGGGGCATCCTGAAGGGTGAGGGTACTGGACACCTGGGTCCAGAGACTGGATGCCTGATGTCCAACCTCCATGCCTGGGAACAGGCTACCCAGGTCTTCTCCGAGGCTGGCTTCCCACTGAGCTGAGCCCTACCAACTACAGGGCACTGCTCAGCCAAAAACCACTCTTCCAAGGATTATTCACTGCACATAAAAATCCATAGCAAATATTAAGAGAAAAAGAGTACGTTTGTGAAACAAGTGGTTCCAGCACATTAAAGTATTGGGTCGACTGATGTGAGATTGCCAGAATTTGACCATTTCTGATCTCAGACAATGACTACGTCGTGTGTTTCAATGTCATATATGCATCTAGAGTGGGGGTGTGTTAGCATCGGAAACACTGCCGGGCTATACACCAATTTACCAACTAGGGAAGGGAGCAAAAGAGGGGATTTTTATTCTCTTTACTGTGCTTTGCTGAATTTCCAAATATCTGACTGTGAATGTATTATTTTTTTAAAGGCATTTTTATTACTCAAGAAGAGAGGACATTTTTTCTTTTCCTTCTCTACATCTATATTATTTGAATCTACCTCAATTTTTTTTTAAGATAAAATCTTTAAATATCAAAAAGTAATTAAAAAAAAAAATTTTGAAGAGCCTTTCATGCCTTCTCACGGGATTGTTACTCTTGTCCTCAACTGACTGAGAGGAAATCAGAGGCTGAGCAGGTGAGGGGCAGTGCTCAGAGCACCCACAGGGAGTGAGCAGCAGAGCCCAGAACCCAGGGCTGATGAGGCGGAGCAGCCGGGAGGGCCCTCAACGGCTGCCATGGGGAGTCCACGGGGGCTGGGCACCCGGCTGTTAACACGGCCACCTGTCCTATCCCAGGTATTCAGCCACGAGTCATCCAGCAAGCTGGGGGCAGCACTGGGACTCAGACTCAGGAGTCCCAAGCCCCATGTGCAAGCTTTTCTGCAACACTATGCTGTCCATTCCCAGTACCACAGTGGGGGAACAGGAAACAGACTCTTGGCTCCATAAAGGATAGACTGAGGTACCAAGAGGTGATGTAGAGGTACACACTGGGCTGGGAATCGACTCCTGGCCTTGCCCCATGAAGTCTGTGCTGCTTGGCCACACAGGTCTCCCTCATAGCTCTTCTGGTCAGCATCTCTGAGGGCTCTTACCTCCTGAAGTGTGTCCACCATGGTCTGCAGGTTCATGCGCTTGGCAAGCTCCTCCTCCCATCTGCAAGAGGCAAGAAGGACAGGCAATCAGACAGTGACCTCCTTACTTCAGTCTGGCCAGCAGACACAAAGCAAGCACCCACCCTGGGACTATGCTGGGCTGAACAAGGAAGACGCAGGGCTGAGTCCACCCCTGACTGCCACAGAGCCCCCAGTCTAGGGGGCAGGTATGGGTGAGAGGGCAGCCAGGTCAGTATATAACCACAATGGCAACTGTAGCAATGAGTGCCATGTCTCAGGTGTGTGCAATGCTCTGTGGGAAGACAAAGGCGGGAGGGACCACCGCCACCTGTTTTTGTGCAAACTGTAAAGTACCATGCAAATGTTGCTGCCCCTGCCATTGCTGCATAATGCAGTGACAAAGCTGGCCCTCAGAAGCCAGGCTGCAGCAGTCCCATATTTGGGCTCCTCTTTGCACCCACAAGAAATAAACTTACAGCGTACCCTAACCAACACAGCACAGAAATCTCCTACATAGGTATTATTGTCCCATTTCACAGATGAGGAGACTGAGGTTCAGAGAGGTGAAAGATAACACAGCTAGTCAGTGGTGGGGCTAGGATTCACACCTGGGTGTGTTTTATTACATTAAAACAAAAACAACACAAACGGCTCTCATTCATTTAGTGCTTACTATGTGCCAGGCCCACCACCTGCCTCTCAGTCTATTGTACTGCGGTGGCCTGTGTGTTGCTGTGACGCTGGAAGCTATGCCATCAGTATTTCGAATACCAGCAAAGTCACTCATGGTAGACAGGTCTCAGCAAAGCTTCCAGACTAAGGCAGACAAAGAAGGCCTGGAAATCTACTTCTGAAAATCAGCCAATGGAAAGCTTATGGCTCACAGCAGAATTCTGTCTAATATAGTGCTGAAAGATGAACCCCCTCAGTCAGAAGGCAACAATGGAATCCAGCACGTGGTGATCATGAGGATGGCACCAGACAGAGCAGTCACTCTGTTCTACATCATGAGCTGAAGTCAAGGAGGAAAGAAAGTAACAAAATAACAAATGTGCCAGGCACTATTCCAAGGGCTTTCCATGTTAGACCTTGCTCAGACACACACTGGCTGGAGCTGAGCAGGGAAGGATGAAGAGCAGACAGCGCGAATGGCGTCGCAGTGTATCTCAGCCTCCACTGGGGTGGAAGCAGCCCCCTGGGATTGAATGATAATAACTAGGTCAACCGTAACCATATAAACTCATCTTTATTGAGCACTTACTTTGTACCAGATACTGTTGTACAGAGTCCCTGGGTGGTGTAAATGGTTAAGAATTCAGTTGCTAAATAAATAGACTGGGATCTTAAAAGCTTGCAAACAGCCATCTAGACGCAATGATGGGTCTCCCCTCATCCAGAGCAAAGAAGAATGAAGAAAACCAAAGATGCATGAAACAATTAGCCCAAGGGACTGGTCTACCATGTGAGAAGCCCGTATGACAATGAGACCAGAAAAACTTGATAGTGCCCGGCTACAACTGTCAGCTACTCGGAGGGGGATCTATGTAGGAGATCCTGGATAGAGTGGGAGGACAATGTGGAACAAAACTCAAAATCATTAAAAAAAAAAGGGGGGGGGGGACCAAGTTTGCTGGTCTGATAGAGCCTGGTGGAACCCCTGATACTATGGCCCCTAGCTGCCTTTCAGGTCTGGAATTGAACCCACTCCTGTGGCTTCCAGTCAAACAAAAGACAAGCATATGAGCATATGAGCTACATTAGGTAGATACACTCCTTGGAGAGAGCAATCATGGGAGAATAGAAGGGCTGTGTATGCACAGGGAGACAGCTTGGGGGAGAAGGACAGGAGTGCATGGGAAGGAAGGACACAGGGAAGAGGTGGCCATGGGAAGGAAGTGGAAGGCAAGCTGTTGCATTGTTGGAAATTGCAGTCAATGTCATGAGACAAAGTATATGTGAACTTCTGTATGGAAGATGAATTTGCTAAGGAAACTTTCACCCAAATCACAGTAAAATTTAAAAAAGAAGAAAAGAAGATTTCAGTTGCTGAATAAAAGGTCAGTGGTTTGAATCCACCCCGAGGCACCTCAGAGGAAAGCCCTGGTGATGTGCTTCCAATAGGTCAGAGCCATGAAAACCTTATGAGTGCAATTCTACTCTGATACACACAGGGCCGCCATGAGTCAAAGCTGATTCGAAGGCAACTGGGTCTTTTTTTTTTTTTGGTTAACTATTATACATGAAGGAGCCCTGGTGGCACAGTGGTTAAAGCACTTGGCTGCAAACTAAAAGGTCGGCAGTTCAAACCCACCAACTACTCTGTGGGAGAAAGATGAAGCAGTCTGCTTCTGTAAAGATTTATAGCCTTGGAAACCCTATGGAGCAGTTCTACTCTGTCCTATACAGTCACTATGAGTCATTCAACTCAACAGCAATGGATTTAGTTTTTTGTTTTGGCTATACATGAAGTAATTCAATCCTTGCAGCAATCCTATGGTGTAAGTACTATTTTATCTCCGTGTTACGGTTCAAGAATGCAAGGCACAGAGTCATGTGCCAAGGTCAGGACAAGGAAGGGAACCCAGGCAGTGAGTGCTCTTACCCATCTCCCCGCATTCCCTGGACCCAGGAACCATCTAAGCCCAGAGGCCTTAACCCGACTCTATTTATGCAGGTACTTACCCTCCCATTCCCACCCCTACCCCTCCCCAGACGAAGCTAGGGCCGGTTCCTTCTCTCCTTCCATCCTGGGGCAAACAGACAAGCTTCTCTCTTTCCTCAGCCGCTGCCACCCTTCTGACAGAGCCTCGGAGCAGGGAGATCTGGAAACCTTTTAGGATGTTGTCCGGGCCAGCTAAAAATAGGCCAGAGGGGAGGAATGGATGAAGAGTCGGTTACGTCACCAGCTTTTGGAAACAAGAGAAAACGATACTGTTTGCACACACAGAGGAAAATTCCTCCTCTCTCCCACACGGCCCAGCCAGGGTTCCCGGAGGACGTACCGCCCCCTTTCCCTTTGCCTGGTTCTCTGAACATCACTGCCAGGCTAGCTGCTGGGGGCTTGGGTTCTACGGTCCAGAGCCAAGAGGGCAATGAGACTGGGGCTGGGGCTGACGCCAGGAATGAAGGGTGATGAAGGGTAGAGAAGGTATGTTGTTGTTGTTGTTGTATGCCGTCAAGTCAGACCCGACTCATAGTGACCCCTCCTTGGGTTTCTGAGGCAGTATCACTATGGAAGTAGATTGCCCCATCTTCCTCCGAGGAGTGGCTGGTGGGTTTGAACTGCCAGCCTTCTGGTTAGCAGTCAAGTGCCTTAGGCACTATGCTACCAGAGCTCCCAGAGAAGGTATAGAAGAGGCTAAGGAGAGAGGCAGTGAGAGACCCCTCATTGTACAGATAGGGAAATCAAGGCCCAGAGTGTACAAGTAATTTGCATTCCCCCGCCCCAAAAATAAAAAACCAAACTCCTTGCTGTTGAGTTGGATCCAACTCATAGTGACCCCTCCTTGAGTTTCTGAGGCAGTATCTCTACGGAAGTAGACTGCCCGGTCCTCCTTCTTTGAACCTCCAGCCTTCTGGTTAGCAGTCAAATGCCTCAGGCACTATGCCATCAGAGCTCCAAATTTGCCCAAGGTCCCCCAATATGTCACGGGCCAAGACTCAGGCCCCAGACTACCTCTCACTCAGAAGGGCAGGCCCAATGTAGGGGACAAGAATCCCAAGAGAGGAGAAGTTTGCAGGCCACCTCGCCCTGCCCAGCAGCATGGGGCATCTGAGGCTTTCCTCCAGGGAGGCACAGGCCAGGAGCACAGGTCCCGAGCTGAATCATCTCTCCTGGCTGAGCTGCTCTGCTGGAGGAAGGGGACTTGATTACATAGGTGCTGAGCAGAGTGAGGGCCTAGGAGAGGCTGAGTGTGGCACTGGCTGCAGCCTGGCTTCTGGACCAGCCTCACCACTTGTCTTGCAGCAACAGTGGGAGCAGCAGAGAAGGGGGCAACAAGGGGTGAGGATTAACATGCTTTCTCCCTCAGAGTCAGGTAGAGGGTACCCAAGGACATCTCACTGACACATACATCCAGTCCCCAGATACCCCAATAGGTTCTTTGATCAACTTTCTCATGAGGAAGGTGGGGTAGAAGTCAGCACACTCATTGTAAAGACTGGGAAAATGAGGCCCAGAGAGGGAAAGCTACTTGCCCAAAGTCAACTCACGAACACGAGCCTAAAGCTTTGGATTTTCAGACATATCAACAGCAGCAGCAACCATTTATTAATGAGCACAGACAGATTGGGCCCCATGCACTAGGCTCAGTGCCTTGTTCCCATTTATTATCTGTCCCGTTATGAATTAGTAACCCAAATCTATTTTGCAAATGAGGAAGTTAAGGTTCAGAGAGGTGAAGTAACTTGTCTAAGCTAGGAAGCAGGGAGCTAGGACTCAAACCTAGGTTGGTCTGAATCTAACCCATGCTGTCTGTCAAGCAGCATGCCTCAAACTGTAATGTTCACCCGAATCACGTGGGGATCTCGTTAACATGCAGACCCTGATTCAGCAGGTCTGGGGCGGGGCAGAAGCCACACTTCTAATAAGCTTCCCAGGGTGACTGGGTTCCCATGCAGCTGGGCGGCAGACGGTACTGTGAGTGGTGAGGCTCTGAAAGACCACACGATCCAGTCTCTCCACCTTCACCCCACCCTCCTGCCACCCAAGCTGCGCATTCTGCACACACCCCACGCCTCGCTAGTGTTGACTGAACCGCATCCCAGCAGATGAGCTTGTATAAAGGATTTCATGGGCATCTCATTTCCAAAGCCAGGCTGGGTGGGTAGCCGGCTGGCCTGCTCCCAGGACACCAAGCAGGGACCCTTGCATGTTGATAGCAGCTGGCCTGACAGCCTGAGCCTGCTGCTCACACTGACCTCCCTCCTAGCAGCAGCAGGGAAAACCTGGCTCCATCAACCCTGATGTTGACGGTGCAGAAAAGCTTTGCCCTTCAGCTGCTCTGGCTGCCTGGGGTGAAAGGATGGGTGATGTGTTTC